ACAATGCAAGCTTTGCCAGCTCTACCAAGAGTCTGTGGTAGATCCTAGTTATCAAGGAAACAATACGGCATCTTTTATTTTCTGTTAAATTGCTAGTGTTAACTGTTGCCAACTCAAGTCGTCTTCCGCTCTCCATAACAACTAACACCCAGGCACCACCTACCAGCTAGTTCCAACAGCGAGCAGACACCAGCCCGGGCTCCTTCTCCCCCAACACTGTCCCTCTGGCAGGGTGGCAGCCAGGCAGGGTTGCCCCCACCCCAGCAAGGAGAAATGTGAAAGAGACGGAAAAACATAAATGAGGCAAAATTTTGACAGCCAGGTCCTGCTCCAGCAATACTGCCTGGCCTATAAATACACTTATTTGCAGGTATTCCTCCAACTCCAGAACAGTTCCTTATGACAAACTGGCATCTCTGATGACTTTTTCTCTTGCTAGGACGTGCAAATCTGGCACTTGTGACAATCCCTAGTGCCCCTGAAATCCCACATGAAGTGCTGTTGGCCCCCTCAATCGTTCTGCTCCCAGTAGGCTTCAAAATCCCTGTCCTCCTGCCCTGAGACCTGCCTGTGAGCAGGAAAGGGAGGCTACAAAGTACCAAACAACAGGTACTTCTGCATACAAAAAAAAAAAAAAAAAGTACAGATGAAGCTTTCTGGTCTGACGAAAACTGCTAAATTAAAATGACTGAAAAACAACAAGGAAAAAAAAATCAGGCACCTGTGCTGTTCTTTTAAAGGGTGCGACAATTTTTCTCTGCTTTGGAAAACCATATTTTTAAGAACTCTGCTTTAGGAAGGGAGAGTGGGAGGGAGAGCAGGCTCCTTGTTCTGCGGTCAGATGTTTTATATATACTGACAAAGTACTTATTTCTTTAAGTACTTCAAAGCAGGTGCAAATCAGATATGCAGTCACTATTCTGGTACCTCCTTCCATGTATATTTTATTCAGCCAAAATGACCTTTTTTTTTTTTGTTAGGTTTCTGTACAAAAGACATCCCTGTCTAACTCACCACCAATAATGCAGTCAGGTTGTATTGTAATCATGAAAATGACGTAGCTCTTATCAAAGGTCATTCAGAAGTTGGTGCTTGGACAGATACCATCCCTTTAACAAGAACTTAAGGATGTTCTGATTACAGACACCTAATTGCAACAAAGCCAAGAGAGCTGGGGGATGGAGTGGCTGGTTGCTAGCTGTTGGAACTAGTTCTTAACCCCATTTTCTGTTTGTCCATCCACCTTCCTTTTAATTTCTGTTGCATAACTCAGTAATGCAATATTGTTTTCCTCACCACTTCCAAATCCAGAATCCCATTAGCCTGCCATGTTCATCCACTTTGCACTCCTTGGACACAAAGCTTTAACAATTGAACTGTATTCAGTGCATTTTAATATAAACTAAAAACACAATGCAAATGCAATACTTTTTAAAACATGGTATTTCAAAGTGTGTTATTGTATAGGGCTAAGTACTATCTCAGTATTTTGTGTCATTTCTGTATTCTGTGGGCTTTTCTTCACCTTAGCACCTTTGCACTAAGTTTTGTCACTGTAATCATTTGTAGACCTGCCATTGTTACAGTTTGCATTTATCCAAATGGGGTTTTTGGTTGCTTTTGTTGGGAGTTTTTTGTTTTGGTTTTTTGTTTCTTTATTTTGGGCCTTTTTTCAGTTGTATTTTTTTTTTTTTTTTTGATTGTATATAATGAAGGAAAAACTGGAAATAATTTCAAGGTACCACAACTATTCAAAAGCTCTAGAAAACTGCTGTAAAACTGTTCTGGGCTATTGTAACTGTTTCAGTAATTGACATTTAAGAAAAGAAAAACCAAATCACCAACCTGTGTCAGAAAACTTGCCTGCACTGAAATGCTGTTCTATGCTGGTTGTACTCAAGTGGTATTTTTTTAATAGTGAGAAGATTTTTTTCTTTTTTTTGCCTTTTTTTGTTTTTTTTTTTTTTTTTTTTTTTATTTTCCTCGTTTTTGTTCCTACATTTTAGGCTGTCTTCAGAAGTTACTGGCCTGGGGGCTCTCTAATGTATCTCTTCATGCCCTAGTGCATTAGCCACCAGACAGGACTTTTCCAAAGCCCCATGAGACAATGCTTTCTATGGACTAATCTACAGAGGAGTTTCTGCCATTTCTAACTTTCTTATTATTCTGAGACATCAAAAGAAAATAATTCTTTACTCTTTAAGCAACTGTGCTTCCTAACTCTTGTGTTGCTTTCATTACTGTTCCAGTTTTAACTCTGTTGTGGCTCATAACATAAAGCAAAGACAAGTTATTTTCGGGAGTTAATTTTTATTGATGTTCATGCTTTGGCTAATCTGTATAAAAGCATGGGCCGTTAGTGTTCTAAGCCACTGTATTCAGCTAGAGACTTGACAGTAAATTAAATGAGACGTTTTTATAAATAAATTTTTTTCCTGATTAAAAAAAAAAAAAAAAAGACGTGGTAGCTTTGTGCATACAACTGTTGTGTTGTTTAAATTTTGTTCTTTGTAACCAGTTGCTAATTTGTCATTTAAGAAGCACTATTTTATGAATTGTCAAACTAAGATCACAGACAAATCGCTTGTTTTCATTAATGATTAAACGTTCATATCATCACGCCTAAGGTCCCACTGCTCATTGGGAAAGATTGTAACACCTGTGCAAAACAGGCAACGTTAGAAAGGATGTTAGCCCGTTGTCAGGGATGATGAGGCTTTTCAGGAGTAGATGGAGCCAGACTCTGTAATTAGTAGAGTAAGCAATATTTCTCTAAAACTTTATTTGGTGTTTAACAAAGTTGCTCTTTGAGAACCTCACACAGTGAACAGAAAAGACAAATTTGTCTTCTTGTTACAAGCAGCCACTGGTTTGTATCTCCAGTGTTTTCCCAGACTGATTTATAGATCAGATGGGGAAAGAAAAACAAGAACAAAAGAATAAACTTGGGTACTGAGTTGCTAAGACCCTTCGTTCTTTCCCATTCCCAGCAGCATTGTTGAGTGAGGCTTCTAGACAGCACCTTCCATTCTGCCAGGAAACTGGCCCAGCAGCTGGGTGGAGCGTGGCAATTTGCATTAGAAGGAGGAGAATGGAGAGCTGAGGAGGCCAGGGCACTGTCTCATTCTGCCCTGATACTCTGCTTGAGCAGTTCAGGTTCTCCTTTAGATCTGCTGAAGCACTGCAGTCACAGCCTCCAGTTCTCTCTTCACACACAGGCAAAAGAAAGGTGCTGGCCCTGAGCTGCTGTTGCAATCCAGCATCTCTGGCTGCACACTGTGGCCACCTTTCCTCTTAGGGCACTGGCTGTACTTCCACATTTACTGCTTGCTCTATCTTCATGAGAAAAGCAGAGTTTTCTGGCAGTACAAGTGAGTAGCATCCTTAATGACATGAGCCTGATTCTACAACCTTCATCTACTAAGGTCTCTACCTGCTTCTGTGAATTTAATTTGGGGTCCCACTTCCCTTCCCTGCCCCAGCTGAACTTGCAAGCCATACCACTATTATTTTACACGGTCTTCAGGATACAGACAGCTCTAAAGTGTCTGGGTCTTGAGTCTGAGCCTGGTACTGTATGACCAAGATGTGCATACAGACTTGCAGATCTCTGTAGAAGTCAACAACTTTTCCAATGCAGATGCAGCCACAGAGCAATTCTTGACAACAAAGGTTGCCAAGGAAGATTACAGAAGAGCTCTTTGCATCCCAGCATCCAGGAAGCCTTACCCAGTGTTGTCAATTAGCTATTTCAGGTTATTTCAGCTTTTAGGTTAAAAGAACTATAGGTCGTAGTACTAACCTTGATAAAATTCTGTTGTTATTATTACTTAAAAAATATTTATATTACTTAGAATATATTTAAATTTGTACTCTTGAAAGGAGAGCTGAAGCTGCTTTTACAGCAGAGACCTCCATAGTCTTCATTTCCGCAACAGCAAAAGCTATTTCTATGGCTAGCCTGGCTAATGTAAATTAAAAAAAAAAAATTATTGCAGCTCAACACTAAGTAGGTCAAGACTTTGCTCTCCCAGTAGAGCTGCCAGGCAAAGGGCAGCAGCAGCAGCTCTGTGTTGTATAGTATCTTTCACATTAATAATTCACGTATGCCTTGCAGAATTGGCTAGAAAAGACCAAGATTTAAACAAACTAGTGCAGGGACACGTTTGTGTATGGAATGAGGAGACATAAAAGGACAAAGGAAGAAAAAGAAGTCTTTTGAGAGGGTTTTTGCAAAAAAATACAGGCACAAGTGTGATAAACTCTAGGCTCGTTTTAATTTCATTATTTTAGTTGGAAAATATTTCTGAATGGCAAGAAAAAGCTCCTGAATAGCTTTAATATATAAACCGGGCAAACAAAACACTAGAAGGTATGTCTGAAGGGGGGGGGAAAAAAAGCAAAATATACTACTATCCAAGACAAAAATCTAAACCACTCATGCCAAAGGTAGAAAAGAGGAAGCACGTGCCCAATGTGAAAAGGTCACTGCCCACACAATTGTGAGTTTCCAGATGAAAGACAGCACAAGTTCTGCAGCTTCCGCATCATGAAATAGTTATTAGGTTTCTGGAAACATCTCAAGTGAATTCAAGCAGCTTTGCTGTGTTTCTCGAGTGAAAAAAATTGAAATTATGAATGCTGGCTGGAACAGTCTACCAGAAGGAAAACAAACAAAGTTAGTCCATTGTTAATACGCAGAGTGCTTTGTGTTCTCAGGCATAGCCAGAGGGTGTCTGTGGGCCCCAAGGTTCATATCTGTGCCAGTCAAAGCTCCTAGGAAGCTGACAGCATAAATCTCACTGGTGCCATCAATGCAGCCACCTGGTAAGGGCCTCAGCCTCAGAAGGCTTGCAGAGACAAGGTGGTGTTTGTCAGGTTTCACAAGAAAGTGTTAAAGCATGTGCTGACCCCTTTCCCACCCAAACCAGTCAGAAATGGAAACACTGCCGTTGCTTTCATTTTTAAATACCCAACAGCATGAAAAAAGAGTGTTTCTCTCAGATGGGAAAGATCCAAATCCAGTTTATTCCACAGCCTCAATATCAGCTGAACGTATTTCAGCACTATTTATGTACTTGGAACAGGACCTTCCCCTTCTTGGCTGAGTGCCATGATTATCTAACAAGAAAGTCACATACACTCACTAATTCAGTCATTTTACAGGGGCACAGCTTCTACTGTGGAAAAGACTGGAATTGTTAGACTGCTCAACTAGGTCACACAAAGTGGCTGTTCAAAGGACAGTACTGAAAGGAGGGATTTGAACAGAGATCTCTTGAATCCTCCGTAACTGCTGTAGCCACCAATTGTGCAAGGCATTTGTTCCTCCACTGTATTTTTGGAAGACCTGGTTTAGATGTCTGCACAAAGGAAATGCTCGCATTTCTTTTCTCAGCTATCAGGCCAGGATAGTTGTAACTGAAGTGATGAACAGAAGATCAGTTAAAAGCAGATACTGAAAAACTGCTTCACACCTGAAATTTCCAATTCTTGGCCCGACCAATACTTTCTAGGGATACAAGTACACACCACCCTTCCTGGCACTGCAGTGTACTTGATCCAATTCACTGGTTCTATGAAGGAATGCAGGAATGTTGATTAAAGCAGTGTCTGCATCTGTCCTGTGTCCTGGATGCATGTCCTGCCACTCTACAGACTGGCTTGTATCTTAAGATAGTAACTGAAATGAAAGAGAAGTGTCAAATTCATTTGATGCTACCTAACAAAAGGGAATTTCTTTAATATTATATACTCACATTAAGGTTTCTAATGGCAACAACATGATTCCTACAGGCTGAATGTCTGATTTTCTAGTGCAAGTTTTCTGAATTATAAGAAAAAAATTTGGAAAATATTGAAATATTTGAAAATATTTGAATATGACTTCTCATTAGAGCTATTTCTAGCTCCGTGTTTTAAAGATGATAAAATGCAGAGAATCTAATTATAGTGGTATGAAATAAGCAAAATCTGTCTCTCCTCAAATTGAAATTATTGGCAGGTGGCCTGGCAAAAGCTAATGTTAGTGTTCTTTTTAATCAGTATCTGCAATTCTGAAGCAAATTTTAAAATTAAATTCTGTGGTAGAGGAATAACAATCATGTTAGCAAATGAGAACGTTGTTTGCCTTGTTGTTATTTGGGTTTGGTTGTTTTTGCACGGTTGCTTCTGGCCTTTTTCCACAATCTGTTTTTCAAATACAGACCTTTTTCCACATCTGCTTTTAAGTCATGACAGCAGCAGCAGCTTATTTCTTCCAGGGCAGGAGAGAAGGTAGCACACCGATTACCATTTGTGACTGACTGCACTCACCTGCCAGAGAAGAGCTGACCATGAACAGCTGGCAGCTGTAGCTGTGGTAGCTGCACCTGCAGAGCTGCTACTTGGAACTCCATTTCAAACATTCATGCACCTACAGGCACATACATCCTGGCCCTGCAAGGCACTTAACCAGTTTCACAACCACTGAGCTGGGGAACCTCAACTACTTTTTGGTGGCATGAAATTCCACAGTTCTTAAGTTTGGACAACACTCTCCATTATTATTATTATCAATCAACGAGGATTACAAATGTTAAGCGCCTTCCCCCCTTAATTCTGATTCTTCAGTTTTCTGGAAGTCCTGGAGATCAGAGAATTAAAATAGTCTTCTCAATTCCAATTAAAATTTCATTTTTAATAGTGGCTATGGACAAAGCTGGTTATTAGGACTACTTTAATCTTTATTGTTTAAAAATAGAATTCAAGAAAGTTAAGAAATGAGAGAAATTAAGGAAGTACACGTTTTTAAAACAATTATTTTCTCTGACTAATAATCAATCTAGCTCAGTAGCTCATCAGAAGTACATAAAATTGTTTTCTAAAGCTGAAGATATATTTAGATTATAAACTAATTATGCCTATGTTTTTCTAAGACACAGGAGATTACTTACCTTGATAAATTAGCTTGACTACTCAGTAAGGTTAGGATATATCCCTCTTCTCCCTTATAGCCATGCTACTTCCGTTGCTAAAAAGCTGGATGATTTCTTGCCTTCTTGACATAACAGCACATGTACAGCAGTGGTCACAAAGGGCAAAGTCACTACTCCCACCATCTTCACAAAGCTCTCTAAAAGCTTTGTTCCGCATGCTGAAGAAATGTACAGTACGTAGCAGTAAGATGGGTAAAACTTGGATACAACATTATTTGTAGATCTCTGAGATTCCTCCAAGGAAAAGAGCATCAACCCCTAAACAAGAAGCAGCCAAGAGGGACCAATGCTGTCACTTCCCCAGCAATCTGTACACGCACTGGCCAGTCCATCGTCTTTACTCCTTCAACAAGTTGTGCAAGGATAATGAATAGAATGATGAGTGATCTGGTGTTTATTCCTGCCATCTCTTCCTGATAATAACAATGGGCTGCACTGGTTTGGATTTCAGTGTACAAGCTCCATGCTCTGTAACTAAACTCCTTGCCTTTAGCTTGTTACCACAAGATACCCCTAAAGATGAGGGCAACTGAACTAAAACAGCTGAACTGTTTTAATGCTCAGTTCATTTCCTGTTCATCTGCAGCTGAAACCATGATTTGCAGGTTCATGTACAAGATGAAAGTAAAATTACAGAAAAATGTACAAAAAAAGAGATGTCAGTTATAAACTCAGAGATTAACATTTTTATACTGTCAAAACATGTATGTCCATGATGCTCAGTGTAACCTGACATTAATCACATCCTGTTTCTCTGATGTTAAGCCAAAGGCAGAGTGGTTCTAAAGTTCAGTGTGAACAAGCTAGGATGCTTTTGTGAGTGGGGTCAGTGAAAATCAAATATAAATAGAACAGTTAGAAACTGAGCTCTTGTCAGAGGGAAAGTGGGGGTCTGTCTTTCATTTTGTTTTGAAAAAGACTGTCCATCTTTTAAGACTGTAGCACTCTCTCAGCTCAGAGTTCTCTTTACAGTGATAAATGGATCTAGAGATCTTTCACTGCAGCGTGCCAGGCACCTTAGACATCAAGTGTTTCACACTATAAAAGGAAATTGTATTTCAGTTTTGGTCCAACTAAGTTTTCTCCAACTTGTCCAAACATTCTTATTTATTTTGATATTCTCTGAATGCTTATTCTGTATTTCAGTACTCTCTGAATATTGCTACTTTAATGACAGTACTAATTCATGTAAGACTGCAGTGTTTCATCAAACATTTTAGCAGCAACAGCTACTTACATTTAGGGTTATTAAATCAACCAAGACCCAGTGGCTGTAATCCAGCACATGTGAGCAGGAATAAATGGATGCAATAAACTGCTAAGGACCATTGCTTGAATTTTAACAGCTTTATAAATATAAAGAGCTGAACCCAAGCATCATGGAAATCGGGAGTGATAAAAAAGCATCTCTATCACTATACAGAAAGGGCTCCCACCATATCAAATCATTCCTCCAAAACAGGCAAATCAAGTATCTAACTTTAGTTTTAATCTCTATTGCTTGGTTCATAAACATCTCTGAGACAAGTAATGAGAATGCCCTCATAAGAGTAAAGCTTGTTTTCTCCCTTTAAAATCTAGCTTTGAAAGCAGAATCTTAAAGGAAAATGTTAAACTGCTCCTTCACAACTTTACTTTTTGACATAAATCAAGCCACACATCTCCTATTTTTTCCAAGTGCTCAACAAATTTGAAATGTTTTAAGATTTGCTTCATTAAAAAGGTAAAAAAGAGACACTTACCAATGCTTAAGGTAGGTCTGCTTTTCATGTCCCAGTCTCGTCAAGTTTGTTGGTTCTTCATTTTACTTAATCTGTGTTTATCAGAACAGAAATTAATTTTAGATGTTCTCTGTGCCTAAGATAATATTTGAAGAAAATTTCCAGTATTTACAGCTAGAGAAATTCTTTTACCTTCTCAGTGTCCAGTGCAGTACCTTCCTCTCTGGCATTTTGTCACCCTTTCATTTAGTTATGCAGATATGTAACTACTGTATTCTTATCCCTCTGGTTCAAAAATGTGAGGTATGCTACATGATGGCTGCACTAAGCAAAACAGGGTACTATAAAGAAAAATATTCAGCACTGCCTATGGCACATCACAGAGTATACACTGTGGAGAAGCTGTAGCTCAACATTTCTGAGCTAGTCCTTATATACACAGAGAAACTGTAACAGATCCTGAAAAAAAATGTACATATTTTATTGGAAGCTGGGGCAATGGACAGAAGAGCACTTAAAAATTTTAAGAAAACATAAATGTATAATATTTTCCTTTCCTTAACCCCCCAGTCTGGAAAAACTCCACAGACTATTCAAATCCTTTACTTCTATACACAATAAGCCAAGTCTCAAAATTTACCAAATATAGGTAATGCTTCCAAAACCTCAGAGATTCTTTATAGACTTATTAATCCCACTAAAATACTTCTGGTAAGAAACCAATAATTTTAATAGGAAAGGTGCATTCAATATTGTAAAACATTTGCAATGTACAGTTTTTACAAGTAATACACCACTAAGATCTACAAAGATTTTTTTTCTTAAAACACTTGGCTCTTTACCATCTCACAATCCTCTTTAAATAAATAATTAACAAAAGTGTCTCACTTCTAATAATGGAAGTAACATTACAGATAAAAAGAGTATCAACCATGTTGCAGAAATGCTACAACAATGCCCCTTTCACCCTCCAGTCTTGAGACAGCAAATCCTGCAGTTCTTCTTCATCTTCACTACCAATATCCTCATCCTCTTTCTCTTGTGTTGCTCTTAATCTCATGGCTTCCTTTAGCTTCTCCTTCATCTCATCTTGGCGGTTACGCAAAAGCTCGACACGGCGATAACATTCACTGTTGAAAAGTAAACCACCTATTAACACTTATGGCCTTTTCACGTTAATTTGATCATCTACAGTGCTGGATTCTGCTTCTCCAGCTTTGGATAAAGAAGCTTTACAGCTTCCAATCCGTTAAAAAAATAAGCTTTCAAGATGCTACTGCACCTTCTCTGTGTCAATCAGGTGGAAAGAGACCAGAGGAGAGGAGCGGTGTGGGCAATCTCTAGCAATGAGATCAAATCCAAATATTTTAACAACTGTGGTACCACCACAAATCATTTTTTAAAGAGCACAGAACCAATATTTACTTCCACACAAGAAGATACACCATTCTTTCCTCAACTTATGGTTTTCATATGTGATAGAAAGGTGAGACATCAATTGGTTATAAATTTTGATAACTTAGAAGTGGCATCTCTGAAAATAAAAAAGCAGCACAAGTGTTCAGATTCTTTATCTGCTTCCTATGTGCTATAGCAGAACATTTTAAGTAAACATAATCCAAAAGTTTCAGTTTTCCATTTACTTTAAAAGTTCTGTCCTTGAAATACGTTCTGTAACAATTATTCTAGCCATTTTAAACACTGCATTTTGTTGAAAATGCCAACTAGTACCTGCCTGATTTAAATACATCTTTGCTAAGAAAAGACACCAGGGAAAGATTACAATCCAGATCCTGTTTCCCCTTGTATATCTCAAATACAATTACTTACAGGGAGTCATAGCTGAAACTTTGAAGGCTAAGGAAAACATTAATGTCTCTGGAATTAAGTTGATTTTCAGTTTAATTTGAAATAGCCTGCATTTAAATACAGTCAAAAGACAAAGCTACAAAAACTCTAAAAATCTATTTGTAACTTTTATTTTGGGGAAAAATAATTTCAGTAACAAACTTGAAATTCTCTACAAATTTCTGAATTTGGTTCTGTGTACTATAGCATCCTTAGCTACTGAGAAAAGTGAATCCTCAGAGAGGCAGGTTTAGCTCTCCCCAGCCCTCTGCAGAATTAGATGAACACCATTAAAAGACATTCCTGTAATACCAAAGCTCAGTTTGAACCCAATGCTATTGTTATTATACGCCGATGTGTAGCGTGTAAATCTGCCCAGATGTCTAAAGTGTTGCTTTAATTTTTTGTGTCTTCTTTTTGTTGCAAGGTTCATCAAAATCAGAATTCATTTTTTCCTTTTCAGTCGCTACTACTGCCATTATCACTATTAATCAATGTGTTAAGCTACATGATAATGGTAACAAACTGTTCTATAAAGCTGTATTTCAGGTTACTTGAGTTTAAACTAATGCTTATCCAACCGTGACATCTACCATTTCAGCAAAACAAACCAAACCACTTCATTAAATTTAGTACATTGTTCAACGTAAACTTTAAGTAAACTTTTACTAGAAACAAGCAGAGTTGGTCACAGAATAGAACATTTCAGTATGGCAAATGCTTTTTAAAAATGTGCCCAGAAATACCAGAGAAATACAAATTAAGACATTTGACAAGGGAAGGGGGGACAGTTTGTTCCAAGAATTTGCCTTCTGTACTTTCAGTGATTCACGTGTGTTTTTTCTTTGGAGAAAGTTACATAACTTTGCACCAGAACTCATGTCTTTATTAGGTATAATTCTGCAATTTGAGGGAGTCTGTCCTTCAAATATTCAGGTGATTAATGAAAGGTAGTATCACAGATTAAAAATGTTTTTACCACTCTAGTCAAGTAGCAGTCCATTACTGCTGGAGAACAGAGAGTTTGAGGAAAAATTGATCTACTTACATCTGCTCATCAATTTCTCCAATCTGGCGATCTAGTCGTCCCTCCTCATCATCTTCTGCCACTATTGCTTCTGAAATCTAAACCAGAAAAGCACCAAGAAAATTCACCTTCATCCTGAATTCCACTTTCGTTCCTTTATGATGTCTGTCTTTCCCTCCTCCCTCCTATCTCGAGTTAGTGTCAATCTCCTATATGTATATTCCCACTTTCACAAGGGCAAATACAGAAAAAAAAAATGGTGTGCTTTGACATGAAATGGAAATGTTTTTTCTTAAAAGCAAAAGTAGATTGGCTGCTTTGGGGTTAATCTTTCGATTTTTTTCAATACACTGCAATTTGAAACTGAGCAAACTACACACATCCAAAGTCTGAGGTTGAAACAGGAGCTATATCCCAGTGCTTGGGACTTAATTCCACACACTTACTGAACATATCGCTTAAATATTCCCGCTAGATCCCGAAGTGTTTCTAACCTGTTATTTTTTTCAGCATATACTTTCTCAAATCTGAATGTCTGGGAGATGCTATGCAATCAATGGTCCACGCATAACTGAGAAGATTCCTCCTAAGCTGAAGAATATCTGAATGGCTTATGCTAGCAAAATGTATCCACCACTGCTTTTGTATGAACATTCGCTCTGTTTATAGTGCTGACGGCTTTAAAATGAGCAATGATAAATTTTTCTGCATCACTTTTCTTAGCAGTTGACAGATGAGTAATTATTTACAATTAAAATAATTTAAAAAAAGCGCAAATATTCTAGGGGAAGACTTGAGAACACCAGGTATTCTTTAGTACAGTTTTATATTGTACAAAAGGGCAGATAAAAACCTGCTGCAGGAAGACTTTCCATGCAATGCTAAATAGTAAAAAATGGAAGTACAGAAAAACTGTGGCCAATTCAAGTGTCTCACACACAAACTCCTTTGTCACTTTCCCAAATTTTGGGGTTCCTTTCCAGTACATTTAAATTAACCATGAAACCCAGGTTACCTACACTTTATAGATACGTTTTGAAAAAGGCAGACAAATGGGTGTGTTTTTAAAGGTTAAAATATACATATAGTCCACAATCATGTCCTGTTTGGTTACAGGACACTGATCTGAGGTATATGTTATCTAAATAGTATTTAAATAAAATACAATTTAACAAATGTAACTAGATACACACTGATGACTGGATCCTGATCAAAGGTTTTTGAACTTAATTTCCTTTAAGTGGAAAATAGAAGGAACCCTTTGCTCATTTATACAGTGCATTTAACCACACATTGCATTGAAACAAACAGCTGACAAATGCAGATGTCAGTCATTCTGCAGAGCTGCATGAAACTGTTGTTTTCTTTATTGTGTATAGTATTTAGAATCAATAAAAATAGATTCCATTACTTACTGTGTTGACCTGTCGCATTGCCTTTTGAAATTCATCCCATTCTTTGTCCATCTGATCCTTTGGAGCATCAACTTTTCTCACCTAAGGAACATGAAAATTTTTAAGTTAACAGTTTATGTGTAGTGACTCCTCGGGGCACTGTAAAATATCAGGAGAAATAGGAAAAATTATGCTATCAGAAAAGTCTGGTCGATGTACTTCAGTTTAAGTAATGCCTATGAGTAAGAGAGTGCACCTGCACAATGGTTTTGGAGGAAAAATCTGACTCCTGGATTAAAACAACATCAGTGACTGTAGCATTAAAGAATAATTAAGAATGGCTGGTGTGGAACATCTGGAGTAACAAAAGTGACTAAGTCTGTTAATTTGATGGACTGGAATTTCACTGTGTCAGGTGATAACTTGTAAATTCTTCTGTAAACTGCCTGTTCAATTGCATACAGTAGCCATTTCACAAGCCAAAATCAGTAAATTATTTGTCTTTGGCATAACATAGAACATCAGCTTTTTCAGTCGCTATTGTTGTTAGATAGTCTGACTGTATTTCAAATCTAGTCTAATTTTGTTGGCTAACAGAAGAAAATGTACAGCTACAAAAACCAGTTTTAGTGGCACGTAAAGCTTTTTATTCTGTGGTAGATGGCATTAGTTACTAAGACATGAAGTCTGAAAAAGCAGTAGCTGTAAGAACGTGTTTAAGATCTACAACTAAGGTAATCAAAACCAGATTGTGCTTTTAATGCAAATAAATAAACAAGATAATCTACCTGTGTAATCAAAACTTTCACAACTCAAGACTGGAAGATGTGGCATATAACACGTTAGATGACAGATTATGCCTGACTCAGGACTGGGTAGAAATTATATAGCTTGGAGAACTAAGCAGTTTGAACACAGTAATTCATGACACCATCTTTTTGCATTAGTTTTATTTTTCCTTTATTTGTTCTGCTCTTTTGGTGACACATCAGTCATCACCATGGTAAAGAAAACAGTTTGGTACATTTTGTTCCTGAGTAATTATACAAAATCTAGTAGTATGAATTAAGTTTATAGAATAAATTAGAAGCTTCCAAGCAAACTCATACTGGGAAGTAATAGTCATCATTTCATTTTTCTGTTCTGTGATTATTTCTATCATATGTGTATGTACTGTGTTATTATGCATTGTGGTTGTCTTTTGTAATTCATAATTATTTGTATTTCTTACAATAAATTTAAACACTAAAGTTATTTTTTCTTGAAATATTTATCTAATATAGAATTTATACACTTTACAAATACCCGATGTAAATAACACACATTTTTGATGCCCACAATCTCCCTTCCAAATGCTCAGATAATTTTTAAAATAATTATTTTATGTTATGATTCCAAAACAGGACCACTGCAGCCATCTCAATTTAAGTGATGTCACAAACATTTTCCTTCCTCTGAGTATTAGCTACACTCAGAAAGGGCCCATTAAAAGGAAGAGCATCTGCACCAGTTCCAGGAAGAGCTTGTTGGAACAAGTAACTGCTTGTAAATTTTATCAGTTGAGGCAATAACCAGAACAAAAATCACTAACCAGTGTCCTGACAGATATAAGCAGATTCTCCTCTGCCTGCTAGGTATTCCCAGCTTTGTACAAGCTTCCCAACTCATGATGAAACTAAGTATTTGAAAAATTTAACGCTTCAGTTAGTCATACGTGAAGAAAACAAACAGAAAATGAAAATCGCCCTCCCCCCCAAAAAAAAGCACCAACAAAACCCCAAAACCAACCAAACAAAACCAAGAAAATCAAACCAAAGCAAGCAAAAAAAGACTTCACAGTGTGAACAGGGAAATATACTCATGGAAAATAAAAAAGACTTGAGCCTATAGCACTATTATTTCAATAAAGAAAGCAAGAAAGTCATCAAATCTGTGGCAAATTTTACAAAACAAAACAAAAAGGTTGGTGTTTGAAATACCAGTATTTGTTTTGGTCATTTGGCACTGTGCAAGCTGAAGGAAGTGTGAGGGTGGAACAGGCTTCCTGGAGAAGGTGTCCATGCCCCAAGCCTGCCAGTGCTCAAGAGGCATTGGGACAATGCCCTCAATAAGGTGCTGTAACTTTTGGTCAGCCCTGAAGTGGTCAGGCAGTTGGACGAGATGGTTGCTGCAGGTCCCTTCCAACTGAAATAGTCTATTGTATTCTAAATAGTTCAGTCATTTTCTTTTATTCTGGTATGACTGGAGAAGCATCTACTCAGAAAATGATTACAACTGGCAGAAATAAATCTTGCAGCATAAAAAGAGTAGAACACTTACTTTTGCGTCCACTTCAGGATCATCAAAGAAACCTTCTGGCAAAGCTTCAGCAGTGTTTTCTTTCCTGAAATATTTGATTACTATAAGCCCAGGTTAACAGTTTACAACCTGATTTATTGTAGAATTAAAAAGTCAAGAATAAAATCCATAATCTTTTATAAAAGTACCTAGAAAGGGACCACGTTTTTTTAAGACCCAAATTTTACCTATAATCATCAAAACTTCCTTCTTCAGCTTGGTCTTGCCTCACAAAATTCACAAAAGGGTTTAAATCTCACTGTGAAAACAAGCACTACAGCTTATGCTTCTTAACTATTCTTTCCACTGTGCTGAGCACCCAAACATTTTAACAGCACAGTCACCACTTCTGAAAGACTAAACCACTGTCTACAAGTGCTCAAGTGAGCTGAACCATTACTACAGAACAAGCAGTTACAAGCAGTGGCTGACATTAAGCTTCCACAGCACCCTGTGTTAAAATTTGCAAATAGAGATGTCTAACAGATATTGTATGGCATTCCTCCACGTCTTATTCTGTCCCTAAGGTGCAAAATACCTGTCTGAAATAATGCCAGAGGGTGGCATATATACAAACTATTCTGAATGCAGCTTAACAATATGACAGATTTCTAAGTGATCATGGTCTGTACTTCCTGTAAGAATAATTACAACTCCTAAAACTATCAATATTTGATTTAACTGCTTACCTTTCCACTATCTTCTCTTGTACCTCTGCTTTCTGTATGGATCCTGAATGGGAAACTACAGGAGCAGCAGGAGTTTTGCTGTCAAAGAAGTCTATAGGGAAGGACAGAAGTCTGTGACAAAAAGAAGAGCTATTCAAGCAGTTTCTAAAATTCTGACTAGATAGGAATGTCAATTAACACCTTACTGAATCAAGGGAAGAACACCCAGGCATTATCTCACTTGACAGCCTCAAGCGATTAGAACATAAAATCAATAATCATGCTGACAAACCACCACATAATAACAAACTAGCAAAGAATCTCCTTCCTCTAATTCCAGTATTACCCACCCTAACCAGCTAATGGCAACAATTAGAAAAATAAATTAAAAACCCTTCATCATCAGTTAAAATACAGCTTTTCCTTACTGAATCACTTACTGTTTCAGTCAGCATTACCTGCAGGCAGAGAATTAGCTATTGCTTCTTGAGTTGGGATTTCAGTTTTATGCATAATGGAAGATTTGCTTGATTGGTCTTGTTCCTCCTCTTCATCATCATCGTCATCATCATAATTTCCTGACAGTAAACTGGGACCTGGACCCTTGGAAAGCTGTACATTTGCACTGTCTTGCTCCGCTTCATCAAAAAAATCTGATGGCAGCCTAGTAAAGAGCCCACAACAGAACTATTTCAAACTTCACAAGAGTCAGTTCCAGTCTAGCACTCGAAGCCTGGTCACTCTGCGAGCTGTTAGATATTGTACAATACCCTGAACTGCACAGCTGACAATGCAGACACTGTCTGAAGGCAGCACACACTTGTGGCTCTCATTTAAGTTCCCCAGAAATGCTCAGGTTAATTCTAAAAACCTGAACTTCGGGTTTCAGAAATTGTAAATTTCAGTTCCATTTCTCTAGTTGAATATCCAGTATCAAAATCATCAACAAAAATAACCCATAACAAATTGTATTTTGAGGAATGATGGCTTAAGTAATTCTGTCTCCACATACAAAGTAATGTGCATCACTATACCTGCTGTGAACATATTAAATATAAAATTAACAGTGGTCATACTAATGTCACATAAACCTTGATAACTACATGTAACACAGCCTCTTATTTTGGGTACCTACTGCTGCCCAGAACTGCAGCTGAGAAAAGCCACACAGGCTCAGCAGTAAGAAAACCCAGATTTGCTTAGCATAGCTACAACAGGCCTCCAAGCCAAACAATTTTCCATGTTATATTTTAAACTAATCACACAGATGAGTTCAGAAATCAACAAACCTCTCAAGTGTTAATTTTGCACACAAACTCAAAACTTCTACAAGGTAACTGTACATAATATCTATGCAAGATAATAATAATTCAGCCTGTGAAGTGTACAATAGACCCTCAGGTCTCATGTGACATCTGCCAATCCTGCAAAGATGTCCAAACATATCAGAAATTTTTAGTGGCAGTAAAGGTGCTTAACCCACTCCCTTGAAGTCAAATACAGTCCTTTATTTGTCAGAGTTCAACTGCAGGATATGCACTTACATGAATTTTAACTGACAAAAACCATCTTAACGAAGATCTACTGATGACATTTGTTAGCTGGTTTTGTAAATATCATTTAATTATACATTCAAAATTTGTCTTAATTTCAGACTACCACCTCTTCTGCAGTATGCTAGCATTAAAGATTAGAGTGCATGCCATAATCCAGTTACATTCATTCTAGCAAACTGTATAATACCACCACATGTTAATCCCTAAAAGTCTGATAGTGACAGTAAAAGAATTCCTGTTTTCCCAGAGACTCTAAGAGTAGATAGGATTTTCTCATCTGCACTGAGGAAGATGCTGCCATGTTCAGGAATATACAACCCCATTAGAGAATGAGCAGAAGCAGGGATCTGCTGACACTCTGAACCTTTACCCTTGGCTAGGAAAGACTGACAAGGAAGAACTGGGTGAGAATGCAGCTGTTGGTAGTTACAAAGAAATCATATGTAATAAGATCTACTTACCCAGCTGTAGACGTATGTGGCTTTTCATCTGTACCTGTACAACAGCCAAGAGTCACTCCTTAAAATTCATGCTTTTACAAGAAACAACCCTCAGACTCTTACTACAGAGGCAAGTTCACAAATGCACACTTTGGTGTATTTCAAGGGTTTACATGTCTACATCAAGAGAAAAAAAATTAACTATCTTTCCTTTAGCAAGAACTTTGAGGCATGGTTTGAGGTAAAACAGTGGCTTGATCCCACTGACAAGGAGTAACACCACTTCTGGGCAAGTGCCTCTACTGCTTAGCTTACACTGCTGCTGGTTGTTTGGGCCAAGCCCACAGTTCCATGATGTACCAAAAAGCCAGAAGAAAACTGCCAAAGGCATTGTTTTCTCCTGACAGTGAACTCACAGAGAAAGACAGATTTCTTCCTTTTCTAGCCACAATAAGCTGACATTAACTCAACAGTCTTCTGTATTCGTGTGTATTCACACTCACTTCCAAAGGACAAAAAAACAAACCAAAAACATTCAGGATGTAAAATGGCTGGATTCTGGCAGGTACTTGATAAGTATTTTTCTCTCCTCACCTTTTACTCTTTTTAGCTCTGTATTTTCCGTGTCAACAGTTTTTCTCTTGACAGGATGAGACGATGTGCCAGCAGCTGAACCAGTCGCAGTCTGCTTTGTACCTTTTAATTCTGCAACTCTCTGTAAAGAAGTAAAAATTCAGGACACTTTCCTAGCAGTAACTTCTGGATTGCATCTTAAAACACAGTGCTTTTAGAACAGATTATAAAAGTGAGCTAATATCTTTCTAGAACAGGATCACTGAAACAAAGACTGTCAACCTCTGGAATGATGTGACATGGGGACAGGCACCTGCACAAGGGAAACTGTATGAGTAAGAAAGGAAAGATCAGTGACACTGACAGCAGTAAGGCACTGGAGGAGAAAGCAGGAGGGCTGGACTCATTCTAAGGTCCTGGAATATTAAGTGTTTTAAAATTAAAACACAGCACTAGCATTAAAGACATGTCAGTGCGCCTTGCCATGGTCATCTAGTCTGAATCCAGGCAATGAACTAGGAAACCCTCAGTTCTTTTGGTCTTTTCCTCGGTACTTGTAAAATTAAGCACGATCTCCCAGTTTCTGCTAAGAAGCAGCAGCAGAACTTAGAAGGATTAAAACCCCTCCCCCAGATTTAAGGCTGCATCCAAATTACAAGCTCCTTGAATCATTTTATAAATTCTTCATCTTTATTGCTAAATTACAAAGAAAAAAAAGGCATATCTTCTTGACCTTAACATATTTTCCTAAGCTGTCACTTGACAGCACACAGGTACCTGAGCAACCCCCAGTGGGGTTTCACAGTCCAAGCTTCAGACAAGTGACAGCCAAAAGCTGTGGCTTAGGTGGGAACCGCTTCACCTTACGGGCAGGCCTCTTGAAAGACACAGGACCCCCCCCTTTTAAGCGCTGGCCTTTCAATCCCTGCACAGCTTTTAAGAAAACAAAAAGCGGACGAACCAACCAGGCTTGTTTTCACACTCTTCCCGCACCCTGGAGGGTGTTGCGCTGCTCCCATTACTGCGAACCCTCGGGAGCAGAGAGCCCCCAGGCCCCGTTCCGGCGGGGGGACCTTTCCCTAATAATCCCTCCCCCTTCTCACGTGCTGCCCCGGTACTCCCGAATGGCAAAGCCCCAGACAGCGCCGAGCCGAGACCCGCATCCCCCGCACCGCCGGGACCAGCGGCACACCAGCACCACCGCCCCTCCGCAAACCCCGCTCACCTCCCGGTGCTGCTTGCCCAGGACGTGGGTCTGCCACAGCAGCTCGCTCTTCACGGGCGCGTTGCACAGGGAGCAGCTCAGGTGCCCCAGGCTGTTGTACGTGGCGGCCACGTTAAGGGAAGAAGCAGCGTGCGGGCGCGGACTCCCTCTACCTCTATCCCTTCTTTCTTTCTTTCTTTCTTTCTTTCCTCCCTCCCTCCCTCCCTCCCTCCCACAGCCCCCGAGCCGAGCGCTAGGGAGCCCGGCGCCGAGGATATTTGGCGAAGGGCGAGTCGATCCGCTTCTTCCCCGCGTTCTGGCGCTGCTTCTCCCGCATGAGGCGCCGCAGCTCCTCCTGCCGCACCTGCTTCCGCCCCGCGCCAGCCCCGGCCGCCGCCATCTTCCTTCGCCCGGCGCGCGGGGCCGGGAGGCGGCAGCGGCGCCCGCCGTGACGCGCCCGGGAGGCGCCGGCGGAGGAGGAGGAAGAGGTGTGGGGGGGGTTGGATTCTCCGCCCCCGTCAGGCTGTTCGTCGGTGAGGCCTTTGGAGCGCCGTTAGCACTCGACAGTCCCAGCAGTGGAGCTGTGGGACGCGTCTCCGAATAAATTCCCTAAAACATGCCCCCTCGCCTCCCGCCCCAGCCCCCAATAAGTAAAAAATAATAAACGGTAGGTCCTGTACATCCAGATCCAGAAACCACAGAATGGGTCCGGTGGGAAGGGTGAGTCATCTGGTCCAACCTCCCTGTTTAAGCAGGGTCATCCTAGAGCACATTGCCCAGGATTGTGTCCAGACGGTTCTTGAGATCTCCAGCGAGGGAGACTCCACAGCCTCCTCTCTGGGCAACCTGTGCCAGACCCTCGGTGCACAACATAGCTGTGAAAGGAAAAAGAAAAACTACCACAAAACCCCACGGCTTTTCTTTAAGCTTTGGCTCACTGCCAATCCCGGGAACGTTCCAGGCCCTGGATCACTGCGCCCCTCAGAAGGCTCCCCACACCCGGTGGCTGCTCCCAGTGCCAACACTGAGAACATGTGCACCTTCCCCACTAAAATACAGCCCATCTACAGAATTAAGTGACCACAACATGACCAAGGACAGCAGAGAACTCTCCTTATTTTATTGTCACCTTTTCATTTATAATAGTAGATAGTACAATAAAGTAAGTTAACAAAAAAAATCTAGTGCCAAGTTCCACTCCAAACCATGAGTGTCCATTAGAAGTCAAAAAGTGTTGCTCCAGGTTTACAGCGACATTAGAGGACTCGGTCACAGAGGATGCCACTAATTTTATGCTGTTTCCAGAGAGCAACCCATCCCATGGCTCAAGACTCCACAGCTCCCTGAATGTTGGCTTTGGTTCATCTCACACCAGCCCGGGAGATCTGGGGAAGAAAATGGGCCAAGGGAGTGTGTAATTCAATTTCCATTCTCCTAAAAGACAAACCATTTTGCCCAGATGGCAAGTCCAAGATGTGTAAACACAGCCAGAGCAACACAGCAACTGGAGGAAGACAATGGGATAAGTGCAACTAAGGCAAAAGGGAGTAACTTCTGTTTTGACGTGATCAGGGCAGGTGGCTGGGGTGAGGAAATGATTCAGTAGCAAAACAGGTATCACAGTACACCTGGACTACAGAATCATTGAGAATATAGCTTAAGCTTGCTTGAGATCTATATTTACAAATTCTAAAGAATATTTAAAATCTCTTCCTTCCCCTTTCTCCCACAATTGTAGTCTGCTGCACTTTTCAAAAGCACAGATGCTTGCTTTTACTGAAATTTAAGGCTATTATGACAAAAAAGTGTAGGACTCCTCTTCGAAAACTAAGTATAAAAGTCAATCCACTCTAGAATGTCTTTGATAACTCTAAATACAACCATCTGTTTTCCAAAACAACTCATTTTTATATTTGGAAGACAAAAAAATTTATACTGCAGAAGTTGGTCTTCATACACATTCTTTTGTCCTAGAAATCAAACAGACACCAGGAGTTATCACTGTAAGGTAAGTTCAGCCCAGGACACCCACTCTCTGCTGAATACAGATGTGCTGGTGGGAGAGGTTCACCATCACTCTCTTTGCCTAAAAGTCCCAGATCATCAAAAGATCTGCTACAGAACATCCTAAAATTAATTCACCTTGCTTTGACACAGGCTGAGGATGTACTCACATAAGCACACCTCGAGAAGCAGCAGCTTCTGGGAAGAACTGCTGGGAAGATGATGTCTGCCTGCAGCCTTAAGTGTTCTTGCCTGAGAGAGAAATACAAAGGAACAGCAGAAATGGACATAGTTCTAGCCATGGCCACAGCTCCCAGTTCTCTTTGTGGGCACGAGAGGATTACTTTGCTTATTATACATGCACCTGTGAAAGCTCAATCCATTAGAGGACCAATAGCTGTGAGGGTGAGGATCCTTTCCATCACAGGAAAGTGGATGATTCTGCATTCCCTGAATTAGGCAAGTGTTGCTGGTGGTTTAAGAGTCAGCTGAATCTGGTCCAGAAGCAGCAACAGGCTAGGCAAGTCTTCACAAAAATGGCTACAACCAACGCTTCTTCCTCTTAACCCTAAAGTGCTGGGAAAAATGCACCATGACCAGACTAGTAGCCTAGGATAAAACCTCCACAGTCCTACGATACCATTTCCTAACATGATAGATAAGGTTCCTAGGAGTTTAGACCATGAAATCCTCCACAGATGCTGATAAGAGAATTTCACAAGGAAAAAATACAAGCTTGAAATAACTGGTTAACAACATGGCAACACAAATCTTGGTATGGTCAACCAGCATTTTTAGAATAGTGACCCTTTCTAATGCAGGACTATCGCTTCATTTGTCCAATGGCATTTTTCACTAAAAAGAAAATGCTCCTCCAATTACAAACATCAAAGACAATACTTAAATAATAACACTTTAGGCATTGTTTAAGTTTTATAACTTATTAGAAGTTAAGATCTTTTTACATACATTTCCTACTTTTATCTTGAAAGGACAGCTAACATTAAAACATATGAATAAGGGCTCACTACCTGAGGGCCATTTCGAAACATTCTCAGTCTGACTCATTTGGGATGAAAGAGCTTTATTTTTCCCACAGAAAGAGGCTCCTTACCAGTCACTACTTCACCAGCAGCTATGTGTATGACTGACCTACCAACCAGAAGCATCAGTGAAAAAGCAACTCCTATTACAGTTGTGTTAGCTACAGGCAAACATCTACAGTATGGTCAGAGGCTCTGACCAACAACTGCAAAGTCGGCTGCACCCACTCAAAGTTCCTATCTCTGGCAAAAACCTTATTTTTCACCTAACAGAGAAGGTTAAGCACAGCACATATCTGACTGTGAGAATCAGTCATAACCCTCAGACAAATGGCATTGCTAAAATAAAGCTGTGTCACTTTGCAATGTGTTATAAAAATTCACTGACTGCCTTAACATACTAGAAATAATCACTGCATTTTTCCATTAAATATAGCATCATGAATTCAGTAAAATCAGAAAAAAGTATAAAAAACCCTTTCAAAATAGCTCCTTAATTATACCTTGCTTGAACTGAACCCTTGGTATTTGAGCAGCACAAGTAATCTCATTTCATTTTCCAACATATTTTAAGACAGAACACAAATAATAAAAATACAAATAATCTATAAAAACCACAGTACCTCAGAAATCTATGTAAAAAACATACATCTGTATCAAGGAGCTCAGTAACAACTTAAAGCACCACTCAAAATTAAGTACCATACATGTTACAGTACATTCCATTTATTATGACATTTTAAGGCTAAAATAGGTACAACTCCCTTATAGTCAAGCTTTCTTATATTTATAAATGCATACAAACATTAAGTAGATACAAATGCGTAGGGTTTTTTATTGCTCTGAACTGTCTACTAGAATGTTCAGCTTTCCCAGATGTTGTCTCAGTTTGCCTTTTTCAATCAAGCTGAAGTCCTACAACTGCAACTTATAGCACTTGTACAATTATACACCTTCTTTGATTTGAGCTGTAAATAAATTCAGAGATACATCAGACGAAATTGCCCATCATCAAAAACTTCATAACTTAGTTAACTAAACATTCATCCATAAGATACGTAATTCATCACAAAGATTAGTTCTGCCATTCTTCAGGAAGGATTTTCTTTTCAGAATAATATTTCTAACCAAGCGGCAAACCAGCAAGAAATGATTGACTGGTACCAGTCTAACAGACTGGGTTTAAACAAGAAAAAAAACCGGAAGCTGGATATGTGCTCCAAAACAAAGAGCAAACTTTTCTTCTTGCTCATAGAGCAATTATGTTTCCTAATTATGTAAGGCGATGCCTCATTCTGCCAATGCCAAATTCTTTGACTGTAACTTGTCCATTTCTTGACCAATATTTCCTTCAATGGTATCACACTGGGCAAGAAAAACCTAAGAATAAGAAACAAACAAATGTCACTGGTTATGCAATTTAGCAGTGGAAGGTGCCTCTTAAGAACAGAAAGTTCCTATCCTGAATCTGAAGATGCCAACTCAATAACCACCTTCCAGCTGTTTTGATCATAGCTTATTCACAACTGCATTTACCCAGAACCCAAAAGAAACATGACATTTGATAAGGCAACAGCATGGCTGCCCATCATCACCAGTCCTGCCGCTGAAGTACTTTCATAAACAATAATGGTTCAGACATTTCATAAACAATAAAGGTTCAGACAAGTTAGTGCTTCATTCAGTTTGGAACATGACTTTTAAGCTCCTTTCCAAAACACATACTTCAGAGGCCAAGGGGTGGGAATGACAAACCTACTCAGTCAAATCTAAAATGAGCTTTCCTTAAACCAAGACCTCTTCTATTTCTCCGGACTACAGGGCACCATTGAACCTTCATCTTTATCAGTGAGTAGCATTTAAGCCAATAAACGATTTTAGGCCAATCCTAAGGTAAGCAAGTACACTGCAGTTTCTGAGAAGATTCTTCCATTAGTTATTCAAGTCTTGCACTTGGTTTTGCTATGTCTGCACCAGACTCTAACAGTCAAACCAGACATTTCACGTGATTTACATTAAAATGACACTAAGAAACCTCTTTCCCTCTAGAGCAGCAAACTCTTGTGCTAGGTGAGTGTTTCTCAACCATCACACTGTTTTCAACCAATCCAATCCCTTGAGCCATCATCAACTCACGTCATTAAGGACTTGAGGGATGAAAAAAATCAAGGTGATAACAACTGCTGCTGCTGGCTGCAAGTGTTTTATACCTATCTCCACATCCTAGAAGATATATGACTGCCAGCAATAGAAGGCAGTTAATAGCTCCCCCTTGCTTTCATGAATACTTAGGAGTAACAAGCATAACTTGCCACCGTTTTCTTGTTCTTGCTCTGGAAAAACAAACTGTTGTTGACTGCTCTGGTCTGCA